TTTTTTTTTTTTTTTTGTCTAGGAAATGAGGGCAAATTAATTATTGGAGACGAATTCAACAAAAATCGAACAAAAAATGGTTAACAAACTGTGCAAAGAGACAAACCTAAAATAGCTCGCAAGAGAAGTGTGCGTCAAGCTTAATTACCGAACTCATTTGATACTTGTAGTGTCGAGCCATATTTTAAACTCAAGTGATAAAAAATAAATAAGAGCACAATTGTCATTTGAAATAGAAGATTGTCTCATATCCTCTCACTACGATCATCACTTATCCACTATGGTTGTCAAATGAATAAATTTGACCTGAATCTTGAAATGCAGCCCAATATTAGATGGGGCTAAACAAAAAATTATATAAGACTACAAATAAAATTTTTTATAATTTATTTTTTTATTTTATTTTTTTATGGACCTGGGGCTGGAGCCCACCCTAGCCTATGGGTGGCTCCGCCCCTTATCACCTCCACTTGCATTCCCCTTTGCTGAAGTTTTGTAGCAACAGGTACGGCACGTTGGAGCGAACTCGATGGTCCCGACCAAATTGCCACCCTGAATTGTAACTGGCTTTGGATCCATTTGTCCCCGAACATATGCTTGGGGTAAAATCGTGATTCCAGCCTTGAATCACCAGTTCACCACCGACTTAACGCGCTAACTGCCAACACGCTTTTTTCCTTCCCTAATCGCGAAGAAGGCAGATATGATTGCCAACCGTATTCTCTCCCGGATTAACTCAAGAAAAAACTCGGTGTTTTCTGTCGTCGTCTTCGCATAATCAATTGATTGGGCCTCCTGTTTTGCTTCACACATTCGCTCTCATTTTCCAGTGCTCAAGTTTCCCAACAGCAGATACGAGATAAAAGTTGATTCTTTCCGTTGTAGCTCGATACATTTGATATTACCATCAGATTGAGCTGCTGCACATCAGCTGGGCTTTATCGGCAACAATGGCGACGAGGCGGCCGATAAATCCTTCCCGGCGTACATCGGGAATTGGAACATCGACATTTTCGTCTCCCTTTCAGTCGAGATCCCGTTCATCTCCTTACTTATCGATTGCCCTCATCATTCTGGTTCCAATTCTTAATTCCCCTCCCTTTTTTTTCTGAGCTTCTCTCTCTCTCTCTCTCTCTCTCTCTCTCTCTATGTTCTCCTAGATGCAGAAAGTCTGATCTTGAACGAGCATTATTCTGATTTAAGGTTTCTATTTGGCAGGGGGCATTGTTCGTTTTAGGGTTTCTGTATCGAGGCCAAGGTTCGATTTTTATGCATTTGTTTTTTATAATTTCCGTTAGTTTGAATATGACTTGAATGTAACGTCGAATTTAGTTTCCTCTGTTATTATGAAGCGGACTTGAGTAATAGATGGCCTTCGAACAATGGATGAAGACTGAAATGATTTTTTCACTCACTGTGGTCTCATAGGTGGCAATGTATGTAGATGTAATGCTTTTTTTGAGGAGTTATTACTAAGTTGTCCAAACCAAGGAAATCGTTATTAATCAATATTCTGTGCTCTTTGTTCATTTAAACGGTACAATTTCAGACCAGCGTTAGATTTGTGTTGCGATCACATTTCAGATATGTTGTGTAATGAAGAGATTTCACCTAGTTGGTCATTAAATCTTTGCTAGATTTCATAAGTGTATAGAGCCATGATTTTCCAAGATCAGCAGAGGAAGCCACGATGTGTTTTTAAAATTTCATTGGGTGGAACTTTTCTGCGGTTGTATCTCTCTGCTCTTAAGTTCTATTAGTGCTCATTTCTAAGAATCCTGATCAAATTTTGGCATCTAGCATTTCGGGTTCCCTATTGGATGCTAGCAATGTATCGCATTTCGATTGGGCTTTAAACTGACATGTGATTTGCTCCGTAGGTCCTTTTGGTAATGGTAAAGCTGCCAATCGTATTGAAGGTAATCTTGTTGCTTGCTGTTTTTTATTTAATTATTTATTTTATGTAGTTGTCTTCTTATTAGAAGATCTAAAATTGCGTTTTTCTTTTGTTTGCCTGGAGAAATTGGTTCATGGTTTGTTTCATGGTTGTGTATAATATACATTGTGAAGCAGACAGTATTTTGGTCTCGAGAACCTCTGATATACTAGTTGAGGACCTTTGAGTAATTTATCTGTTATGGTGTGGTGGTTTCAAGACGTAGAAATATAAGTCTTTGCATCTTCTGGATATTTTTTCTCTCAGTTAAGGACTTGCACAAATCGTGTTTGATGTCAGAATGTGATGTCCTAATTCAGTTAGTTGAATTGGCATGCTCTTAGGCTTTGGTTAACCAAGTGTTTTATTGGATATACCAATTTATCAGTCCAAAACATGTGAATACTATATTTGATGAGACCCCTTGATATAGTTCGAGTTAATACCTCAATTTTGGCAGACTACTCATCCTTACCTCTGAAGTTAATCATCCCACTAATCTAAACAATGTAAGTATACTATCATATAAACCTATGAAAAATCCTAAAATTTGACTCGCAATATGAGAAGTCCTAAGGGAAAACTAGTCAAAAATAGAATAACCCCTATTTACATTTCATTTACATAAGTTCAATCCAGATTTAACTGGATGCAGGTGACTTTTCATGCACCCTAGAGGTCGAACGAGCCATCCCGATCTTGCAAAAGGCATATGGAGACAGCATGCACAAGGTTTTGCATGTTGGCCCAGACACTTGTTCTGTGGTCTCTAGATTGTTGAGGGAAGAGGATAGCGAGGCTTTTGGCGTGGAGCCGTATGACATCGAGGATGCGGATCGTACTTGCAGGAGATTGGTCCACAGGGGGCTCGTTCGTGTGGCAGACATTAAGTTCCATCTGCCTTACCGAGCAAAATCTTTCTCTCTCGTGATCGTCTCGGATGCTTTGGATTACTTGTCCCCCAAGTATCTGAACCGGACGCTTCCGGAACTAGCAAGAGTGTCGTCTGATGGCCTCGTCGTTTTCACTGGTGAGAGAAATTATGCACTTTTATTTATTAATTTATTTATAAATATGAAGTTTAATTATATTCTGCAAAATCCCTTGGGCTCTTGATGCTTAAAGTTCGTATTTATTTGTACACGAACTGTGTTCTGTTAGGCCAGGTTATGGTGATAGAATACCATTTCTGGTTTAGGTGAAAGTTTGTAGAAATATCTACTATAGAAATGATAAAGCCTCATCTTATGACACATTTGAACTGATTTAGAAACTGAATATGCCCATATCTGGACCTGCAACTACTAGTTTCTGAGAGAGCAACGATACCCACAACAATATATCAGTTTTGTATTCAGGGTTATAATAATTCTTCTTGAAGTAACACAACAGTATGTTTTTTAATGCATATCCTAGTAACTAAACTGACAATATCCCAAGTGTATAAAATATGAAGACAAATGGTTCCTTCTGCTTCCTTGTGTTTCACTTATCGATTGATGTTCCAGAAACACCAATAGCTCGGGGAAAAAGAACAGTTCGTA